ATAGATAGATAGATAGATAGATAGATAGATAGATAGATAGATAGATAGATAAATAGATAGATAGATAGATAGACAGATAGATAGATAGATAGATTAAACAAAGAAAGAAAGAGAGAAAGAAAGAAAGAAAAGAAAATGACCGTATAACCAGAGATGCCCGTTTGTGTCGGAATGTAAGCCAACCAGTAAGTTTACTTCTCTCTTTTAACGCCTTGACAAAAACACAACACATGGACGCAAACTATTTATCTTTTTTTGGTAAAAGTTTTACGGCACTTGCAAACACAATAAATTCATATAAGTGCCGAAGATTTGAGGTGTGAGAGAGAGTAACAAACATAAAAAAGGAGGAGAGATCAGGACGAAAGATGTTTGATAGGAAAGAAGGGGCAAACCACAGCAGAGCACCCGCCAACCACCCACGACGCAAACTATAGTCCAGTAAGCGGTCATGCACAACCAAAAAGAGTCTACTAAAACTACAATTTATATGAACAGAAGACGCGAAATTTACTACTAATCAAAAGTTACTTTTGTTTTAAAAATCTTAGCCGCACCAGGAAACCAATTTATAATCAAGTAAAACTTTGCAAGCATCAACAGCAACATAAAAAGCCATGATCAACAACAGCCACAAGAAAACTACAAACAACAAAAACAAGAACGACCCCAATGACACAATAACAACAACACCATGGCCAACAACAGCAGCAGCAACAACAAGAGAAACAATAACAATATTATAATTTTTATTATTATTATTATTTTTATTATTATTATTATTATTGTTATTATTATTATTATTATTATTATTATTATCATTATCATTATTATTATTATTATTATTATTATTGTTGTTATTATTATTTTTATTATTATTATTATTATTATTATTATTATTATTATTATTATTAACAATTCAACAGCAACAAAAAAGCAACAACAAAACAACAGCAACAACAACAACAACAACAACAACAACAACAAGAGACGCAGAAACGGCAGCAATAAAAGCAATAAAAAAGACTTTAAACACCTATAACTTCAAAACTGTATCTTATTATCTTAACTGTTCTTACGATAGAACAAAACATGGGGGTGAATAACACAATCGAAAACGGCGACAGATACTGATATTGGGTACAATTAGATTTTTAAAAATGTAATAAAAATAATAACGATAATGCTAGTGATATTAATAATCAAGAGCAAAAGAATAATTGTACTCGTACATTCATTTTAATTTGTTATCATTATTATTAAATTATTAGTATTAAATTATTATTATTATTATTATTATTATTATTATTATTATTATTATTATTATTATTATTATTATTATTATTATTATTATTATTATTATTATTATTATTATTATTATTATTCTATCTATTCTATCGACATCGTTATCATAAAAGAATCACAATTAGTCATTATTTCTGCGTTAGAATAAGAATAATTACTATTTATTATGACCATGTTTTAGATAGAAAAAAAAACAACAACTATAGATCTAGTGACAACAATGGCAATACGATTACAGTACAAATAGCAGCAACAACAATAACATCAGTCAGGAAGAGTGAGAGAGAGAGGGGGGATGGGGAGAGAGAAAGAAAGAGAGAGAGAGAGAGAGAGAGAGAGAGAGAGAGAGAGAGAGAGAGAGAGA